TCCATAATTACTCATAAACTCCCTCTAACTCATTTGTTTTTTAAAAAAATTTAACATCAAATTTTATAGTCCAATAATTTCTGTAATATTTTTGCTAACTTATAAAAAAAACGAATATAAAATAATGGGTGAGAGAGAGTAAACGATGAAGAATGGGATTGTGAGGAGAAAGGAGAAATACATCAGACGATGAAGAATGGGATTGTGAGGAGAAAGGAGAAATACATCAGACATTAGTATTTTATATACAATACCTTCAAGCCTATCCAAATTTTATATAGGTAAAGATAATTTAGACAACTACAAAGATTTTCTTGCACTTTTCATGCTTTTCAAACTATAGAATGACATTTTCCTACAATTTTCTTTTTGAAATTTCATGTTAACCAAATGCATGTATGGAAGAAAATATATTTTGTTTTCTGTTTCTTTTCTTTCTGTTCTGCCAGGAGGATCAAGGCTCACTAAGAGCACCACTGGAAGCTGATGATGTTTTTTGAAGGCAAAGTTTGTAAGATGAGGTTGGCATTTTCTTGACACGGAGATACTGAAAAATATATGGTTCTTGGTACCATTCAGATTTCATCTTCGTTCGCTACAAACTAAAAAAAATTCAGTCTGCTATTAAATTTTGGAAGTTTGTTTAGGCATAGTGGATTTTCTAATATGCCTCGAAGAATGGAAGTTTGGTGTTTAAGTTAGAAAATGTCCTGTAATCTGCAATCTATTTCATATGCTCCCGTATAGAAGTGGGTTTCGTTGCCTTTTCCTGTATTGCCTTTTTTGTTACACTACCACGGCCCTTCCACCATTACTGTATCATCCCTGAGACGCCAAACAAAAAGTTCACAAACCCACCCTTCGCTGGTTACTAAATTGGCAGTTCGAATCACGAGACTTTCGATATTGTGGAGTTTGAAGATGATTAGACCCTCGAAATCCTGGTTTGAAAAACAAAAAAGCAAAAGATTTACAGATTTTCCCATTCTCATAATGCTCTAAACTGTGACCGTGTTGTCCCCTCTGGTGGGAGTTCTTCAAATGCCCACTTCCCTGATTTAGATGCCATGATATCTGGTAAAGCAGTAATTCAACATTACAATGGTTCACTTCACTGGTGATGATTGAATTCAGAATGTAGTGCAGTAATCTACGGTTCAAACTTGTCTATGCCAGGTAATTATAGTTCAAACTTGCAGTACTTGTCTCATGCTTCGTCAAGTACCGATTGACGCATTGGCTCATGTGACTCTAATTGAACTGGTAATCATACTCTATGTTTCTTTCTTTGTCCCCCACTTTACAAATACATGTCGGTAGCGCATCAAAGAATGACAACATGACACTTTTTCATACAACTTATAGAGACAATGAAAGAGATTGTGAATGTGCGTAATTCTAGAATTTTGGCAGAACAACAAATTCAAACGGGATATGCAATTTTGACCAATGTGAAATCAATAGAAAAATCGTATTCGTACAACAGTTGAGTTGTGTGTCGAATCCGAGAGAGGGAGAGTTCTTTGTTTTTTTGGGTTTTATGTGAAAGTCATTATTGAACTCAAACGAAAAAGAAACAACTAGTTTTAATGAAGAAAGCGCTAATCGAATCAAAATACCTAGCAATCTGACGATAATGAGTTAATCAAATTTTGGTCAAACGATATCTAAATTATTTTTTATTTTTATATTTTAGGGTTCAAAATGATATAATTAAAATATTGGAATGCAAAATGAAAAAAAATTTCTATTTTGGGAAACTCTTGTATAATTAACTCTAAATTTAAATTTGAACGATAATGGTGTTTGGATGTGTAGTGGTATATAAGGGAAAATCTCATTTCGCCCCTAGAAAGATATAAAAATTTTAAATTTTTCCTTTTTGAATGATTAATTTTATCACATTGCCTTCTAAAGTTATAATATTGTCACAATGTGGTCTAGTAACGTTATAATCTGCTTCCAAAAATGTTGTAATAAAAATATTTTTTGGACCACTTTGCAACGTTATAATATCTTTTAGTGGATAATGTAAAAAAATTAATATTTTGGAGACAAATTGAGAATTTTTTATCTCTTTTAAGGGACAAAATAAAACTTTTTCCGATATATAATGACTTAATTGGTCTTAAAATCTCATGGGCCTAGCCCGGCCCAACAATGAACACCCATACCCTATATACAAATATACTAGCAATATCTTGTAATTGAAGTCACTATATATTAAGTTATAACACTATGCGTATATTAGAGTGTGCGTATAGCAGGAGTGTGTATATAATAAGTGTGTGTATACATGTAATAAGTGTGTATTGGACATGGCCGACTCAACATTAGAGTCGAAAAAACATGAGCTTTAGGGCCTGCACATCAAAAATGCTCTAAATTTTAAAGTTCAATAATTAACTATAGGTCAAAGATTAAAACCTATTATAATCTAGCTTAACCAAAAAACTTCCAAAAGATTAAGTCAACAAAATAAAATTTAGAATTTAAGTCTAAAAATGCAGTTCACCTCGCATATATACATTTATTAAAAGACAAAAAAAGAGTTAATGCTTCAATAAAAAAGTATAATAAACATCTCTCTCTTCCACAAATAAAAATAAATTAAACACATTTTCTACAGTAATGAAATAATATATTATGTTCTGAAAAGTGCGGTTCAAGCAAGTGATGAGAGAGACAAACAAATGTGACAATCTGTTTGCAAAAAAATGTGTACTTCGACATGATAATCTATATATATTTATAATTTTTATAAATTTTACTATCGAACAGTTACACTCAGATAGTATGAGTATGAAATAACACATATGCAATGTTTATTATATATTAAATGCCTAAATTACTAAAAAGAAAAATTATGTGACACCATGTTGTAACATTGAACATCTTTACTATGACGGTACCTTGTAACGGTTCACGCATTATTTTGACAAATTAAAAATATGAATAAAATATGGATAACACATATATTACTTTTAATCCTTACGCGTCATCCATTAATTAATTTCTATCACTTAATCAGTTCCATAGACGAGACTTAATAGTAAAGTGCAAACAAAGACTACAATTATTATGAGATGGACAAAAACTTCGATCATTTTAACGGGAGGAGGCATAACAGATTCAACCATTAAAATAGTATTCTAAAGTCTTAATTTAATTTTCAACCCTTAGTTTAAGTTTATGTTCTGAGGCCCTTTTTAATAGATCAAATTAAAGGCCTATTATATTTCAAAAATATATCTAAAACTTTATAGAAAACTTTAAAATGTAACAATATTTTCAAAGGTTTATGTAAAACCTTATATGTATAAAATCCTAAAATATAACAAAACTTTATAAAAAAATCTAAAAGTAACGATTTTTAGCTTTAAAAGTAACAATTTCTTTTAGATTCTTTTTCACTATTTTTTCCTCCACTCTCACCACGTTTTCCCAACTTTTTCTCTCTCTCACAGTCTCATTGTCTTGCTCTGGTTCTTTGTCTTTATCTCTATCTCTCTTCGTGTCTCTTTAAAACTTCATTCAATTTATTCAATTTATAAGATGCCGACCTCACATTTGAGCCCAATTATTATTTGATCCCGCCCAATCGCAAAAGCACAAAACCATTGAAAATAAATCAAACCATAACTCTCTGTAATAATAATTAAAAAAAATTATTATCTTCTTAAAATATTAAATGAGACATCATGTAAAATTCTTCTTTAGGCCTCAATGAGTCGCCCTTGTTGTTGGAGTGTGTATAACTATGTGTTGTGGTGTGTTTGTAAAATTTGGGGGAAAGAGTGCGATGGATGTGTGAAATTTTGAGGAAAAATGTATATCACATGTGTTTAAAAACTTAGTTATCTTATTATATAGATATAACTCAACAGTCGACGATCATCTTCCAGAACAAAGAAAAGACGGGGCTATGAACTTCAACAACAAAATGCCTACAAACACGAAACGGCTTCGATCCAAGAGAAACTCTTCTCTTCCATTTCCTGAGCCTCCAAAAAGGTAGAGGCAGAGAAGGGTGTACACAATGGAGAAAATCTTACGGTGCATCCTTCTTTTCATAATGATTGTGGTCTTGATGGTCATGTATCTTCTTCTGTTTCATTAAAAGAAGTTTCTTTTTTTTTTTTTTTTCTTTTTTTTTTAGTGTATAGCTATGGGTGTTGTTGATAACCTTTCTACTCCATTAAAGAAGTTTCCTTGGTTTTTCTTTTGTTGTTTCTATTGATTTTTTTGAGAAATTCATAGCCATGGGGTGATGTGGATACCCATGCTATTCCATTAAAGAAGTTTCGTTCGTTTTGTTTTTCGGTTTCTTTTGAGAAATTGTAGTTCGTCAGAGTCAAAACTGTAGAATCTATCCAAGCAAGATTTGTACAAGAAGGTATCTGTGTTGCTTTTGGATGACAAAAAATACTTCTTGGATTCCTTACCTTATTTCTCGTGATTGGTATTCTATAATTCTCTGGCCAGATAGTAGTGTGGTTAAGATACAAGGAGAGTCTACATACAGCAGTTGAATTGATTGCTACCCATCTCAGTAAATTTTGGTTGACCGTCACCATAGTGTTATTGGAATATTTGAAATGCAAGAAGTTGTTTTTTTCATCTTCTAAGGGTTTGTTGATAGTAGGAATCTGAGCCCTTACTGATGAGGAAGTGTTGACATGTCGTAAGTGGATCTTTACCACCGATCTAAAATCTATTTGTTTTCAACCGTTTTATATATAATGTTGTTAAGTTGTTATTATGAACTTTGGCATGAGGGGCCATGTGTCAAAATGATCCAGCTTGACTAACTTGACATCTAAGTTTGAGTTAAAATGGTTTTGCAGCCTGTTGTTAAGCCTAGTGGGTTGGGAATGATCTCGCAATGTTGACAGTGTAGACGTGATGTTATTTCCTCTTCCCTACTCAGATGCAAATGTAGAAAGCTAATCAGAACATGCCCCCACCCCAATCCTGGGGCCCTTCCTCAAGGTTTTCCAATGAAAGCAGGCGGTGGACCTGGTTTTGTGCCCAATCCTCCATATATGCTGCCTCCACGTCAATTTGACCATTACTATGCACCAGCAGACATGCTTCCTTTAGACAATCAGCCTCCACCTGCTTATGGCAGAGATGCATCTATGGGAGCTCATACAAGCATGCAACCGCAACAGTCAATGCTCACAAAGGTAAGAAGGGGTTGGTGGAAGTTTCGAGCCCATGGGATCAAATTTATAAAGTTGTTTTTGTTAGAACTTTGAAAGCAAAGCTACTGTTTTTGCTTGGGTGGCACTGGAAATGTCTTTACAAAGCTGGCATGCAATTTTTCATTGGACACCTCCACTTAATATCTCTGTAAAACCACCACGGGCTCTATTGAAACTGTCTTTACATTTTGCAGTAAGTAAGACTGGATCTGCCTGATGGAGAAGTTTTGATTAACCTCTCTGTTTGTGCATCATCAGTTAATTGCTTCATTTGTTTGCATTACATTAACTGGTTATTGTAAATCGCCTTTTCGTGGTTTTTTAGGTCTGGCAGAACGTGCAAATCCCTCTGTCATATGCACATGTTGTTGTTGGCACCTCTGGATCACATATTAGCTAGCATTTCCAGCCAACTCAACCACCTCAACAGTAAGATATTCATTAATTGCAAATGTGGCCCCAGCTCACCCATTTGCAGATGCTTTTATTGGCACCTCTAGTTCACATATTAGCTATATTCGTCATGCCAGTGGTGCAACTATTGCAATATAGGAAACAAGGGGTGTTCCGGGGGAGATGACTGTTGAAATAAATGGATCGGCATCGCAAGTTCAAATAGCTCATCAGTCGATACAGCCATATTATGTTTGTTGGTTTTGATTATGATCCTTGATTCCTTATTTTTGTGGTTGCATGCTGGTAGTTGTGTTGCTAGCTTATTTGTATCAAATCTTGCTTCTTTTTCTTTTTTTCCTCCACGAGTCCACTCTTTTAAGTACAAAGTGTGAATTTCTACACTGATAAGTGACAACATACTTTTCCCCAAATAAGTAGGCATTTTATTTGATTCCTTCTGCTGTCCTTTCGAGTTATAGCAAGATTTAGACTGAAAAATTGGTTTGTGATTCTTTTACCTCTTTATTTTCCCTTGTTGGCTTACTCAAATTGGACTTGTGTGTGATTGCGAACAGATTATCCGGGGCTTAGAGAAGCCAATTTTGTTTACCAATGGCTTACAAATTCAATAATTTTCTTAGATGGAAAATTTTGTTTACCAAGCTATGAGGTCCTGAAGAGTGTTGAGGAAACATTAGTCCTCAATGAATGGTGTGGAAAATAATTACATAATTTGTAGCATGGCTACTGAAACACTGGATCATCAATTGGTAGTGGAGGTTTGTGACCGAATATCATCTGACAGCTCATATCATCGAAACCTGCAATATCAGAAAGGTGCTTTTAATTACATAATTTGGCGGGCGGAGTGGATTGGTTTTCCACTACTTTTTCCATTCTCCCCATTTTTCCCTTCAAACCAAATAAAGGAAAGTGACATTTTTCCTCCCATTTTCCATCCCCTCTTTTCATCTACCCACTTCTGACTCCTACCAAACAGCCCATTAACAGAAATTACAGTTGGAGGAATATATTCTCAGGCTTCGTTTGGTACAAAAGAAAAATAGAATGAAAAAAAATTAAAGAGATAAATAAAATATCATGTTTGGTAAGGAATTATGAAAAAATAGATGAATGAGTTTTCATTTTAACTCATCAAAATCAATCCCTCTAAAATAGAAAAGAAAATGGATAAAAAGTTAATTATTTGTATTAAAATATATTTTATTTGTTTATATATCTTTTGATATATACATATATTATGTATATATTAATTTTATATATAAATTCAATGATAATATATATATATATATTAAATTAAAAATAAATTTTAAAATTTAAAATTAAAAAAAATATATTTTTTTCATCTTTGCTAGGGGTGAAAATTTTCGATTCAACATGGTGACACAATTTGAACTTGACATAATTTGACACGAACTCGAAAATGATTTGACACACAAACACAAAATATAAAAGACTCATATTCAGTTTAACTCGTTAAACCCAAAATTGCCATAATTAACTCGTTTATTTAAGAATAAACATTTTTTTCATTTTTTCGTTTGTATGGTAACACAAAATTAATATGTTTAACTAATATTATAGACATAAAATATTAATTATTTGTAAATATTTATTAAGCACTGACATAACTATTATATAAAAAAGATATTTTTACTTATTATTATTATATTTATTTAAATTAATTTTTAGTTTATAGAACAAGTATGAGTATGAATTCAATTAAGTAAAAATAAAATATTAGTTAAATATTTTATTCAAAGTTTATGTATGTCAACACGAATACGAACACGAATATGACACGAAAATAAATAGGTCAACTCGACACGACACGATACGATTAATTAAATGAGTTGAGTTAAGTTTGATTCATGTTCGACACGAATTTGACACGACACAACTCGATTGTCACTCATAATTTTAGCAAACAAAAATAAAAAAAATTAATTATTTTTATATTCCATTCATTCTACCAAATACAAATGAAAGAAAATTTTTCATTCCTACTTTTCTTCATTAAAGGATAAAAATTGTATCTTTTATACTTTCCATCTCTTCTATTTTTCCTCATACTTTTCATTCCTCCAACTTTCCATTCTCTCTATAAAACGAAACATTAACACACATCAATAGACAATAATGTCATTGATGGACACCTAAAACTACAACAACGCCACAACCCACTCTTGTCGAGGAGGAGCGATATTTACGCTATGTTGTCTTTTCAATGGAATTGAGGTTAAGTTTTTTTTTTAATATTATTTGATTTTAATTTATTATCACAATACTTGAATTGTTTGTGAGTCACAATAAATATTGAGATTCACGGACAATTCAACAATTATAAATGAATAAAATAATATCTTTTGGTCTTAAATTTACTTTAATAACTCTTGGGTTTTGCGACCACAGAATGATGTCGGATGCAAATATTTACATAAAAAATTTTAGTTAATTCGATGGAAATCTTTACAGGTGATTAAAGAGATTCGAGTTTTTTTTTTTAACAAAGCAAACAGGGTAACTATTTCCTTAAGTAGAAAAATTGATGTTACAATCAATCAAAAGAATAGTCGTAAGTTCAGGGGGATCCTAACCAATTCAAAGGAAGTGAATTGTTTAGCATAGTTATCGTTACGCAGTGAGCAGCCTTGTTATAAGATCTAAACTTGTGTAGAAAGTCAAAGTTATATAACCTAGCATAATGTCTAATGTCCTCAATAGAGATGACAGTGGACATATACGAGGATACCTGTATAAACCCGCGTGGGGATGAAGGCAAGGATGAACTTATCCTTATTCCCGTCCCGTCCCGACCCCACTCCGTCCTCATTACCCGTTATATATATATATATATATATATATATATACTCTCAATTAAAAGTCAAGCCCTAATATGTGTTTGGTTCAAGTTGATTACTACTCTTTTTGGATACATAAACCATTTTTCTTTGCATTCTTTGCGTGGGATCCAATGCTTTACGCAAACATCCATGGTTCATTTCACATAATTTCTCAAGCACTTTAATTAACTTTACAACCGGCAACACCATTTGAGTTTAACTCACACATGTACTGCTAAAGCATAGATTAATTACATATGCTAGGTCCCAGTATTCAGACCTAATAATAAAAATGCAAGCACCACAATGCAAAAGGATACACAACCGTCATAGATTAATTTGTCCGAGTGTCATCAAGAAATAATATTACTTTGTATTCTTATGTAGAACATGCTCATCAAATATTTTTTTTTTGACGAATAAGTATTTTCATAAATGATCTTTAGAGATATGCATTTGGTTACATTTACTCACAAAACTTGATGCCTTGATCGCACTAATTTTGGTGGATGAAGGTTATATTCTTTTTTAATGAATGGAGCAAACAAACAAACTTAATGATTTTTCTTCTATTTCCGAGTCTTTTCTCAGTATCATATCGATAAAATAATGAGCACTCGACCTTGTGATATTGATTTTTCTTCTATTTCCGAGTCTTTTCTTAACTAATGAAACTATAGTTTCCATCTTGAGTCATAAAGATATTTGATTAAGATGATTCTACCACCCGTTATGTTATTTGTGTTATGTTGTGTAAGGTTAAATTATATCAAATTTAAGTAGTATTTTGGACATTTGTGATTTTTGTTATATTCGAATATGTTATGCTACATTATGTTGTGTTAGATTATTTAGAATGTTGTTGGATTATTTAAAATGTTGGATTTATTTAGAATATTGGATTATGTTGGCTTGAACTTGGGTTTAGGTTTAGGCTTGGGCTTATGCTTGGGCTTGGGCGGGTACGGGGAAAGCGGGGACGGAGACGGGGATTATAAATTTACCCGCAGATGGGGATGGAGATGAAAATTATCCCTGTTAACGGGAATGAACCGGGGATGGACGAAAGTTTTTTAAGCGGGTACGGGAATGAAGACTATACCCCCCCCCCCCGCCCCCGCTTCGGTCCATTGACATCCCTAGTCCTCAATAATTACTCTAATTTCCCACGGGGGACATCTTCGTTGGAGTTAAGCTTAATAATATTGAGACAACCATTCAAAATAGTTGCATGTGTGATTAGCTGTGCTGCGGCAAGGTGCTTGCCTCATTGTCTTTGTCGATGAAAACAGACATTGTTGGGAAAGATTTTGCACTGCCAAATTCAAAATCACCCATGTTCTTACACATCACCACTCCACAGGTTGCCTTTTGTTGAACCTGGCTTGAAAGCTCCACCATAGAAGATATGGATCCATCCTCAACCTCTTGTGGTGTCACCTCCCTCGCCTTTGATTCCTTCTATCCCTTTGATAATCCCCTATCACCAATTCTGAGTCGATCCCTCCACATGGCTTGTGCACGTAGGACAGTGGCATAGACATTTTCCATATTGAAAATGAATTGATTCCTTGCCTTCCAAATTACCTATCCCACAATAGCCATTTTCCCCAGAATATCGAGTCTACATTGACCCTCCTTCACCAACTGAAGAAGAGCAAGGGTTCTTTGGGCCACCGACACAAATGATAAAACTTCCCACTGTATATTAAGATCCATTTCAAACTAGATTCTCTTGGTCCATTCGCATTCAAACATAGTATGTTCAATTGACTTCGGAGCCAACTTACAAATTTGGTAGAAAGACGTTGAAGCACACCTCCTCTTAAACAAGTTTTCCTGTGTAGCAAGGATATTTTTGAGAAGCTCTCCACTAGAAATGCCTGACCTTTGGTGTAACACCCCAACTCGGGGTACAATATCTGTCACAAATGATGAGGAGAACCAACAACAACCGCATAACTCTGATACCTTTATTTACATACAAATTATGTTTAAAGGACATAAAAAAAAATCCCACGATTACATCTCAATTGACCCTCTAAACTCGACAGTGGACTCCTCTCAGCTTTAGTGTTTTTCCTAAAAAGTCATTGAGACCTTTAGTGAGAGCAATGATGTAATCAATAATCATAAGCAC